CTTGCATGCAATTATTAACAGTTAAAAAGTTGCGAGAAATATAAAGTTCCTAAACTATTACAAAGGCGCGGGTCCACATCGCCAAATTAAATCCAGGACCCGATTTGACATAAAATAAAGTAAAGTGCGAAAAATATAAAATGTCTGAATTACATGGCTTTGGGAGAATTACATTAATATTTAAAGAAAGGAAATAAAATGTGCGAAACAAATTAATAATCGAAAGCGAGGGCATTGGACCCTTTTTAATGAAATTAAATATGATTAACAAATTAATTAAATTAAAATGAAAAGAAATTATTTTTGAGGTTTTTTTGTATTTAAGAATTAAATGGAATTAAAAAAAGTTAATTAACCCTAATTCTACAAATTTTAAATTTATTAAGAAAAATGTTAAAATTTAACCTAAAATTAAACCTAATTAATTAATTCAATTTGATTTATAAAAAATAAATAATTAATTATTAGTGATGAGAAAATAAAAGAAAAAGTAATTAAAGTAATTAAAACCTAATTCTACAAATTTTTAATTTATTAAGAAAAGATATTAAAATTAACCCTAGAATTGAAAACTAAATTAAATGATATTATTTATTTACAAAAAATACTAAATCAAATATATTTATTTTTTGTCTTTTCTGATTTTTTACTATTTTTATATTTTATGAAAATAAATTAAATTAAAGAATTTAAAGGAAATTAATTAAAACAAATAAAAATAGGAAAATATAAAAGAAGATAAAAGAGCAAACCATGGGGGGTTCTGTCCCCAAATTGGAGGTTTTTTTGGCAATTCTGGCCCAATAATTTCCTGGCCTCGTTGACTTTGTTGGCTTGCATATGACGCGTCTGACTCATGTCCATGATGGTCTCCAAATCATAGCCCTATGATTGATCTCAATAAGCGCGTGGCAAGCCTGGATGAGGGACGTATGGTGAATGCTTGGATTGAAGTTGCACGCAAGTAAGGTTAGAAAAATAATATGGAGAGAGGAGGGGACCTGGGATCGAACCCAGGTCCTGTTGCTTACCAAATAACGTGCCTGCCAACTGAGCTACCAACGTACTTTGTTTATTATATGACCAACAATTAATATGAGATAAAACAAAAGTTAGTGGGACGTTTTCGCACGAATTTCAAATGAGCTAATCACCGGCCTACACATCATCATCTTCTCCCATGGCTTTCTGTACCTGAAACAAAAACAGCTTAAATAGCGGGGGTTTTAAACCCCCACTAAATGGCAAGTGCAAAAACAGCGATTAGAATAGGGTGGCTCATAAATTGAGCGCGAGTAGTGTGTTCAAATCGTCCAAGCCTCCTGAGTTTAATGGTCTAGGTCTCACGTCCTAATTTTTCCCTAACTGAGAAACCCCAATTCAAGGTTTTTAAAACCCTAGGCGTCGTTCATGGCAATTCTTCATACGATGCGTGAAAACTCAATTAAAACATACAGTTAGCTTTAGAATGGTTAGCTGAATATAAATCAAACATTAAAAATTAACAACAATGCGTGAATCATGATGCAAGAACGTGGAAAAAAGCATGAACAGAACGAGGTTGTTCTACCAATTCTGGGCGTTAGAGTTGATGGTTTTGATCTGAAAACCTTCCTTGAAGTCTCAGGAAGGCAATGGAATGATTATTTGATCTTGAAAAGCCTTAGAATCGTGATTTTAGTTTTGAAATTTTAGCCAAACAATGCAAACTTGTTTATGGCTTTTCGGCGCAGCTTCGAGATTCTTGGCTCTAGGGTTAGGTTTGCACTTGTATAAGGAATGAATTCAATCAATAATCCAAGTCCATAGCCTTGTTTTTAATGGTTTTCAAGATTTGATTTTGATGAATCTTTTTAAATATTTTTTTCATGAAGAATCATGCCAATTTGCACCAATTCTTTCCTCTTTTGATATGCACGAAATCCTTAGGCCTTGATGAGAGTTTATCTTGCACAAAAAGATTTGAAAACCTTGTTTTGGTATTTTTCACATATTTTAATTAATTAAATGAATTATTAGCAATTTAAAATTCAAATAAATAAATAAAAATGATGAATAACTTCCCTTTGGTCCAAATGGTCGTGCACATGCTTTGGATGATGAATCTTGGAAGGAAATGTGGCCCATTAACAATTTTAAGGCTTTTGAAGCAAAGTTGACTTTTCAAAATACCCAAAAATTTCCCAACTTCCACAAGGCATATCTTGCTCAATTTTTAAGCTTTGATCATGTTCTTGGACATTTTGGAACGGTATTGAAGTCCTCTAACCAATGCCTTTGGTCCCATGTCATTTTGATTTACCAATCTCAAGTTATGGCCTTTGACTTAAAGTCCCTTTTTGTTGACTTTTGAAAATGACCTATAATGTTGAAATTGATAACTTTTTGTGAGAGCATTTCTTGGAATTGAAGTGTTAAGAGGAGTTGTAGGAAATGTCTTTCTCTTCAAAATGAGCTTTGGATGGAATTTTTCTGATAAACCATGTGGAAGTTATGCCTTGGTCAAGTTACAGTTGACTTTTTCAACTGTCCAAATATGGAAACTTTTGCATCTTGAGACTTTTTGAGCCAAGCCTTGAGAATCATGATCAAGAATTGATCAAATGATGTTTGTGGCTTCAAAATGAGATGTTGATCAAAAATTTGAACTTTTGACTGTCAAATGACCATTTTGCCCCTGTAGTTGACTATAGTGCAATTAGGGTTTTTGACTGTGCAATTTTGTGCTGTAAGTCTTGAAACTTGGTATAAGGATGCTTGACCATGTTTATAGGCATGTGGGACTTGATTGGACCCTTGGAAACTTCATTTTCTTTGTCAGAACCAAAACCCTAATTTTTGACTGTTAGGAGGCCCTTGAACTGTGCAACCCTTGGGGAGATTTTGAAGCTTTGACTTGGCAAATTTTGAAGAATATGGGAGGGCAAATTTTGGGGTACAACAGATACCATTCGCTCTCCACGGATATCATACCACAACTCGCACATAAACTGGAGCAACACCTTATTCTCTGGTATACGAAATTGAGGTTGTCTTGCCTATTGAGGTCTAGATCCCCTCTCTAAGAATTATGAAGGATGCAGGGTTAAATGAAGAAGATTGGATCCAGACTCGACTTGATCAACTAAAATTGATTGACGAGAAAAGGCTTACTGCTGTCTGTCATGGTCAAATGTATCAAAAACAGATGATCAAGGCTTTCAACAAAAAGGTCAGATGCCAAGTGTATCAAGTTGGAGATCTGGTGATCAAACGTATCATACTTCCGCAAGGTGATCCCAGGGGCAAATGGACTCCTACATACGAAGGACCATTTGTACTCAAAAACATATTCTCTGGTGGATCAATGATCTTAACCACCATAAATGGCGACGACCTGCCGCACTCTCCGAACGCAAACATAGTCAAAAGATACTAAGCATGAGAGACCCGCTAGGTTGACACACCTAGGCAAAACAAGGGAATCCCTACGAATCAAAAAGGTTTAGGAAAAAATTAGGGATAAAACAAAAAAATATGTACACCCGGCAAGCTGAAAACCCGAAAGGGCGGCTTGGGAAAAAAAGGGTATCCCGATGGACTGAAAACCCGAAAAGGTATAGTGATGTTTAACTGTTTCAGAAGTTCAACGAATTTCTTAAGTTACCCTATATTTTTAGATTTAGCTAAGCGTTGAAGAATGTTTTCCTAGCACAATATTTTACACCAAGTAAGACGGCTATGATAAGATCCAATATCAATGGTTTATAAAAAAGGAAAGCGAATCTCTTTTTGAAGCATAGAAAAGATACAAAGACATGTTGCGACTTTGTCCACATCACAGTCTAGAAGAATGGTTGATCATCCACACCTTTTACAATGGTCTCTTATATAACACAAGACTAACGATTGACGCTGAAGCTGGCGGCGTACTGATGGATAAACCTTATCATGACGCTTATCAGATTATCGAAAGTATGGCTCAAAACCATTACCAGTGGGGAAGCGATAGAACCATTATAGAGAAACCTTAAACGAATGGCGGTATGCACGATGTTAGCAGCTTAGACCAAGTTAACGCTAAGGTAGAAGCTCTTACCCAAAAGATAGAAAATTTGACCACAAACCCCACAGCCACCATGGCTACAGTAGCTTCAACCTGTAATTTATGCGGACTTCACACACATGCTGCACCCAAGTGTCCACTTTTAATAGGAGTACCAGTTGATCAAGTGGATTATGCACCTATAATCCTATCTAGAATAACCATCCAAACTTTTTGTATAAGAATAACAATGCATTATATGCACCTGGGCAAGATCCTACTACACCACCAGGATACCAGAAGGCCGCCCAAATTACTCCAAATGTTCCTAGGAAATCCAATATAGAGATCATGATAGAAAAATTCGTAGCCACTCAAGCTCAACAAAACAAAGATTTTCTAAATCAAAACATACACACTAGTGAACAAATAAAGTAGCTATCAAACAAGGTTGATTCCCTAGCCACTCTTAACAAAATTCTTGAAATGCAAATCTCTCAAGTGGCTTAACAATAAGTAGTTACAGCTGCTCCAGCTGGAACGTTTCCTGGCCAACCACAACCAAATCGAAAGGTTACGCAAATGGTATAATACTTTTTAGAAATGATGTTGTTGGAGATCGAGCCCGTGACCAGTTCCATTTCCCCCTAAGTTGGCAGTTCAATCACATAAAAAAGTAGTGTACCTTCCATGACATCCTTCTTTACCTCTGTCACCAAACCGAAGTAAAACCCTTATTGCAACAAATGTAAAATTACTTATTCGTATTAGTGAACCCTAAGACGAACCTAAACAATAAGAGGTTGTCACTCATTATACTTTTAAGTAATAAAAAAACTTGAATACAAACTTTCAATTCAACAAAAACAAATTTCACACCACACGATGTTTTTATTTAAAGTAGAAATAAAATGAACACACGTTGTTTTTTTATCTAAAATAGAAATATGATACATAGATAGATTATAATTTATGCTCAAATTTTCATAGGATCAAGAAGCAAAGCTTTGATGAATGCCTTCATTTCTCCTTCAGAATGTGTGAAGTTATCTTTATCTTTATAAACGACATCCATAAAACGTGAAAGGTTTATAATGTGTGTTAGAAAAGGCCTTGGAACATCAGTTGGCATAAGAGATTCCTTATTGATATCTTTCCAAGCATCAACTATTCTCTTTCGACCTTCTTGAACTGCTCCTTCCCTAGAGACGTTATATTGCCTCATATAGCATTCCAAGAACGAAGAAACATGGTCTCTTTTCTGTTCAAACTATATGCAAATGATACCAAATCATGTAAATGCTTACAAGGTTTGAAATAAAACAAGAATATTTTAGACAAGATTCTTTTATAGATATACCTCGTTTGACACAATGTCATCCATTAGTCTACAAAGGACAATAGCAACATCAATTACTTTTGGCTTATTGGTTAGCCACTTGAAGATATCCTCTGTAGCTATATTTCCCATACCAATGTAACATGTTGCGGTTATCAGACAATAACCAGATGATATTGTTGATACACGAATGTATTCTTCTAATGTTGGTTGGTAATTATTGTTTAACCATCTAGCTTCAGCCATATATGCTTGAATGTATAATATAAACTGCAACAAGAATGCATGTATATAACACATATTTTTATTTTTATTTTGGCGTATAATTGTTTTTTTAATCGAAAAATATATTTACAAATAAGTACAATCTAAAAATGATGCATAACATTATCAGGAATGATATTCTTACATTACAATTTACACCAATACTTATATCAAAATACTGTTCACCGTATTTATACGGTGAACAATATTTTTTAAGATAAAAATATATATATTTATAAACAGTAACGTGAACAGTACAGGAACAATGACTTATAAACAATGACCATGAACAATACTGTGAAAAATGACTTTTAATGATAAAACAAAATTGGTTAATGAAGTGTAATGAATTTGGTTAATAAATGTCAGATATTAAAAATAATTTTTAATATTAAAATAAAGTTAGTTAATAAAATATAAAAAATTGATTAATAAAATACTTAAATTGATTAATCACATAATTTAAAAAAATAAAAGAAAAATATTTTTACATTTAAAAAATAATAATTATTCTATTATTATAATATTTAACTATTCATCATATTGGTGAAAAATGAAATACAATATAAATATAATTATGATGTAAGAATAACATTTTTCTAACATTATACGTGACAAACAAAATAATATCATGCGGACTAATAAATAATTAATTAATCACATATGACTAATTAATAATAAAAAGATAAAATCCATACTTAATTAAAGAATCACATAATTAGTAAAAAGAAGATGAAAGATCATACTTCATTTTTGTAGTAGTTCAATACATACACTATTCCTTCCTTTATCGCTTCTTCCTCTATTTCTTTGTTAAGATCAAATAAAATTCTATAGAGAAATTTCATGTAGTCCGGAAGATTATCCAAAGCACAAATATCCCATCTGAAAAATAACTTTCATTAATTTAAATGAGTGGCTTCATATAAGCTTAACATTCCCTCAACATCCTTGATAAGTGTTTCACTAAAATTTATTTTGTCATCCTTGTATTTATTGAACACATCTAATGTTTTATCAATCAACCACAATGTAGAATACCCGTTAGAGACAATGCAATTTTAAAAAAATTAAAGCAAGAAATAAAAATTTAGAAGAGGAACATGATTTCATGCAATTTATTAACATAAAAACATCCTAATACTTGGGGACAACATCGAGAATAGGTTAAGGACACAATACTTGGGGAAACGTGAAGTCCTTGTTAATTTTACTTACCACATATTCAGAATCAGAAGCATATTGAAGGAAATAATTTCCACAAACACTAGGTTGAAAATCTGCAACATTTCTATGCAAGTCATATTTGGCATCATGATTGAAGCATTGTTCAACAGACATACTTAAATATTAATATCACTCTCTCCTTTCCTTCTATTCGATCTAAAAGTTTGGGTTGGTAAAGATATCTAAGTATGGATATTTATAGGAGTGATAACTTCTCTGTCCATTTCTAAAAGTTAATAGAGAAAAAAGAATATATATTAATAGTGTAAAATATTTTCACTATCAATTAATGAGAGACATGTATTCAATTAAAACATAATTTTAATTTTTAAAAAACTGTTATAACATGACAATTATAAAAGTTTTGATTGATTTTATATATAATGTTGGTTTACACTTTCAGTGCACTACTTTTAAACTCAACTTAATAGCATATGTCTAATCAATTATTTAATATTATTTAATTTTATTACATTTAATTATTTTATAAATTATTTAAATTTAGAAGGTTTTCAATTTTATGATAACTCTACTCTAATGGATAAATAAAAATATTCTTATACTAATAATTTCTCATACTAATGTTTTAAAAATGTTATTTGACAAAAGGTTCTTCCACCTAATATTTTAAAAATTGAATCAATTA